CGTCGAATCTGAATCACTTGAAAAAAACACGGGGGTGCTTAATTTTTTTCCAGGTGTATATAAGGGTAAGTAACATCAAAGTTTCCCTTACTTAAGTGTTTTATGTCCAATATTATGGTATTTTTTGGGGTGGTGCAAAATATTTTATAAGTTATTATGAAATACTTATTAGTGATTTTATATTTGTTCTATTTCTAGTTGGCACTTTAATTGCAATTCCAAATTGGCTTGATTAAATTCAAAATTTTGTGGATATGTAGTGATAAACAAGTAATCCATGAATGCAGATCATATTGTGAACACTTGTACACAAAAAAAACTTGCTGAATCCAGCTAAATCAATTTTAAAAGAATCAACGGAAATTTGTATTTTACTTTAGATAGTAAACCAAATAATATATACAAAATATAAGTGTTTAAGCTGTGGAATTACATGGGAAAACTGATTGATAAAAATGAATAATTATAAGCTTGATTTATTACTTTATTGTTACGATAAACACAAATACTCTACAAAATAAGACAATGTGATATCTTAAAATATTCAAATATAGCAAACATATATGTGATACTTTTGAGAAGAACAATTTGTATAAATACCTGTTATATGAAAAACTAGAGGGGCACTCAGTAGAGAGCATACCTCTGTCATGCAGCATTAATCATATTCAGCTTTCAAAACAAAGTACGAAAATGTCTCTGTATGTCCGTTATTTCTAACAGACATGGACCGTTTTTGGCAGAACAATGAAGAATAATATTCTACTTAAGTACACAAAGTTTCATCAAACTCCGATCATTTAGAGCAAAAATAGTGTGAAAAATCTGTCCCCATGTTAACAGATAGAGATTTTTGAAATTTCGTTGTGATCTTGCTGTGACCTTAAACATTGACCTTGACACTCCAAAAACTAATCACTTCTAACTTGGATCATAGTCCAAATGTATACCATCTTTTCTCCAAATCCATTCAGCTGTTTTCAACATATCTTGCTGACAAACACACACACACACAGGTGTGAAAACATAACCTCCATCCACTTTTGGTGGCAGAGGTAATAAGTGTTTATACAAAATATTAGCTACAGCAAATCTTCTACATATTCTAGTGAATGCTAAGCTTCATAAACTGGTTAAATACAGTGTCTCAAACAGAATCTTATAGTGCTGTTAACAGTACAACAAATTATACTGTCTAATAAGTAGTAGAAAGCTAAAATTAAATTTATATTAAACTTTACCCATCATAATAAGAGTGAGTTAATGATAACAGCAGTATTTACCCTCTTTCACAGTCCTCTATGTTCTGTTCTTGGTGTTAGAACTTAATGGGACATACAAGATAGGTATTCGGAACAATGTTTTTGGACAAACCATGTAACATATGACTGGAATATTTTGTGTACCTGTTAACAGAGCATGGGAAGTGCATTACATTAGTTTCTGTAAATAACTTTAGGGGCATTATTGTGGATAAGTGTTACCACCATCATGAGTCTGTCGTGAAAATGAATGTTGTAACATTTTACAAGAATCACCCAATGGCATCTTTCAGCTGAGGAATGGTTGCTGATACTTATGGTATGGTTGTAATCTTGACAATGGTTGTTGGAATAGACTTGCATCTACAGAAAGCCCTGTAGCCAATAGTTAGCAGAGGTTAGGCCAGAGAAACATGGTGGAAATCATATAGCCTAAAACCCAATTTTATCATGCCTTGCCATCCTGCTCTGACTTTATGCATGTATGTAAAATATTTCATCTGTATGCTATTATGGTTCACCTTAGAGACTGTTCACAATATAATTTTATAATCACCATGTTTTTTACTTTTGCTGTAATTTTGATTTGAAGTTAAACAAATAATAATAAGGTTAAGATGGGCTTTGTTTAAACAAAGTTTTCTTAAAGATTACACAAGTTACAATTCATATGGTCATTATTTAATAAAACTAAGTAATTGATTCGTGAAAGATAAAAATTTGTCCATTTTTAAACTAAGTGTCTATTTAATGATAATTATTCTTTCTGCTCCAGTGTATTGTCTGAAAAAAAAATTACAGCAACTTAAGTGACTCAGTTAGAAGATATATTATTGAACTTGAAAATGTGGTGTAAATGAAATGCATCTCATTATTTAGGTTTTAACAACAAAATTTTTTGTAAGATAATTCATTTTTGGTAAGAGTTTATTTGGTGATTACATATTTTGCCACAAAAAAAAGAATTTGAAGATAAAAAACATTGATTATAACATAACATATAAGACAACTAGAAACCACTTGGTTCTTCAAGAGAAAAGTAAAAGTTTGTACCCACACTTTACTTTTCAGCTAGGATCATAGATTCCCCCTTAAAATTTCTGTAAAGTGCTGGCCTGCAATACTGCTGATAGCAACTAACTCCAAAGTTAATTACCCAGTTAGAAAAATAAAACTGTCTTAACTGAAGCCTAGCCTGCCTTTTTCCAATCTTAAACTTGTGTCCTCTCATCTTATTATCTTCAGAATATGGTGCAAATAAATCAGAGGCTTTTATCCTATCAACCTCTGGCAAATGTCTGATCTAAGTTATAATAACCTAGATGCATTACCTTGCAGTTACTTTGAAGAATGGTGATTTCCCAGATATTTACCCAACTTATCAAGAAAAAGTAAAGGTCCAAGCACTTATTCTCGAGTACTCTACAAATAACAAGGGTCCAGTTTGACTGGACTACATTAATAACATCATAGCAACAGTTTGCTTTCTCCCATTGAATCATGCTCCCATACAATTTAAAAGTCTATTAATCCACCAAAATAAAAAAAAGGTTCTGCTCACATATCTTATCATTGAACTTCTTGAAAACTATGTGCTTTATCTATTTTTAATCTCCCAGTTGTCCTACTTACCACCAGGGGATTAAAATCTATGTGATTTAGGACAATTCCACTATTTCACAAAGAATGCTTAAGGTCAGGAATATTGCTAATATAGTCTCTTGTTAAAACAGAAGAAAAGAAAAAAATCTCATTGTCTCCAACAGTAAATAACCTTGCCATTACTAGCATTTAAGAGCTCAATCCATCATTTTAACATCTTGTTTCCCTTTAATTAACATACCTGAAAAAAAAAAGATCTATTAGTTTTAACATTATCAGCCAGTTGTTTCTTTGGTTTCCATAATTCAATTTAAACTTCTCAAACATATCGTATTTATCTTTGATTTTTTCCTTTGTTTTTAATAAGCCAATTAGATTTAATCTTTCCTGTTATCCTTTTCCTTTTTTTAGGCCTACTTTGAATTAAAAATAATCTATTATTAAAACTTCAACAAATTTGTCATTTTAACTCGTTTACAAAATTGATTCAATTAGCACCTCCATAACAAAATAAGAAAAATAGAAAGTAAACCCCATTTTTGCTAAGCACCTTATTGAAATGTTATAATAAACTTTTTTTCAAATAATTTTTACCAGGGATTTTCTAGTTGAAATGAAATCTGTGAAGTGTAAATAGAAGTACTATGATATCAACTCTTTAAAATGTATTTAGAGATATTAAAACATATTAACCAACCATTCGTGAAAGTATTTTTTTTGTTTCCTAGAAATTTATTAAACTGAACAATGAGAATGAACCTGTAATTCCATCTAACGTTATGCCGAACCTTGCCCAACTTCGCTTGGTTAAAGAAGAAGAGCTTTACAAAGGAGGTGTCTTGGGAAATGGAGCATTTGGAACAGTGTATAAGGTAAGCATTTATATAAACAAAGAGCTACAGAGAAAGTATGTTGGAAAATATAGATTTTGAATGGCTGAATAATATAAGCATGTATTTATTGTTCTATTACTGTAGCATTGAACAATAAAGAATTGGACTTCTCTATATGTAAGCAATTGTATTAAATTTAATTAAGTTCTATGGGTGGTCTTAACATATTAGATTATGTATAGAGGATGTGAAAGTAGTTTTAAAGTTTGTGTTTTATGCATTCACCATTGGGCCTGGTGGTTAGGGTGATTGACACGCAATCTGCAGGTTGCAGGTTTGAATGCTATCATTGAAAATATTCACTCTTTCAGCTGTGGAGACATTATAATGTGATGGCCAGTCCCACTACTTTTCAAAATATTGATAATGATTGGTGTTGACTAGCTGCCTTCCTTCTAGACTATCACTTCTAAATTAGGGATGGTTAGCTAATGCAAATAGCCCTCGAGTAGATTTGCACTAAATTCAACAAAATATATACCATCAACATTATCAAATTAACCAAAAGAAAAGTTAGCATTTAGGTTTTACCTTCAAAATGAAAACAAATTACAAAAAATGTGAGAATGTTTGGAATTTTCAACATTAGTACAAAATTTAAAGATAAAGATAGAAAAAGAAAACTTTTTTAAATGTATGATTCTTGTGATTATTTTGAAAGACTGAAATAAGAAACTACCAAAAAATGTTTTTTTCCTGAGTCCTTTAAGAACTTTAGTGGTCATGGGTAATAACAAATATTCTTCATTTGTATAACAATGTTATTAACTAATTAATTATAGGGCGTGTGGATACCTCAAGGAGAAAATGTCAAAATTCCAGTAGCAATAAAAGTGTTGAATGATAATAATTCTGAGACAGGACCTTCCAATAATAATATATTTTTAGAGGTGAGTGATATTTTTAATATTGTTTAGTTTGCTATTTTACTAGAAGGAAACAAGATTAAAAAACTTGGTTTTGTACCTGCTGAAACATTCCTTATATTTATAACTTAGTTCTTTTTTTATTGTTTGGTGAATGACATGTCACACATTAAGGTAACAAGTACAATAAAAAATTGTAATTAAGTCAGCTGATGATAATATTTGTCATGATTTTTATGAAAACTCCATAATAGACCAAAAAAAAGAATGATGTATTTAAAATAAACTTAGTTATGTTAAATAATCAATGACTCTCAGGAACAAGAAAAAAAGGTGGTATAGTACCAAATGTCTTATGCTTCTATTACATAAAATGTTGTTAGTGAGATATAACCTAATGATCCTATGTTTTAGTGTTAAGTATAATTTAACTGATTTAAAACTTGCTAGTGGAACAATATACATATCAGTTATTTAAAGGGTTTTTGTTAATGATCATTTTTTCTTCTGTAACATGTGTAAGCAATATTTTCATTGACTTGAATTTTATATACATATTTGACATATGAATGTGCTAAGTCTTATTATAAAAATATAGCCAATAGTTAATATAATAAATAAGTTGTCATTATTATAAAGTCCCTATCTGATAACCTAAGTCACATATTTATACCAAACTTATGTATTTAGATAAGAAACATCTCATTTTATGGGAATATATTTGTTTTGATTTTATGTGTTCATACTGTTGTAAGTAAATTAGTATAAATAATTTTATGTTGTTAGTATTAAAAACTGTAGCATTTGTTTTTCATATGAAGCTCAATTGATTGCCATCTGCAGCAAGTAGATTGCCTAAGCATTTTTGATTTACTGTTTTATCGAAGTACATAAATGAATAAAAAAACATTCTTTCACATGTAAGCTGGTAACAAATATTTTATTGTACACTACAAATAATTAAAACATTAACACTATGGTTCTTGAAAAAAAAGAATATTTATTAGAAATTTCACAAGTTGAACAGAATTAAACTCACACCTTGATAATGCCAGGCCTGGACTTTTACAAATAATGCATCTGAACTCCAAACTTTGAATTCAATAATATAACCTTCACAAAAGATGTTAGGAAAAAGAACCATAAAACAACAACTTCATAAATTATCACAAAATATTCTTAATAATAAAACCTTACAAACTCTTTGATTAATTATAGTATATAATGCATATAAGCTTTAACCAAATTCAAGAAATATTTAATTGAAAACTCTGTGTTCTCAAGTGTTTGGTTTAGGTAGTCTTCAGTTCCCTTTTATTTGCTACTAAATAAGGTGGTTATAGCTCAGTGTGAGATGATTATTGGCTATTGGTGAAACATTGTGTCAAGTCATTTACATAGAATGACATAATGGTTTACATACAGTCATAGTAAAACTTATTTACATATGGTAACCAGTTAATTCATTTACATGACAATATAGTTATTGTAACGATAGCTACATCAGTGCCACTCAGTGTCAGTTATTTTCTCTCACTTTGAGAGTAGTGTTACAAGTTAACTAATGGGGTGAGGTGGTGTCATATGCAAACAAACTTAAGAAACAGCTCACCAAAATGACAGAGGAAAAGGTGTGTAAAATATGCACATGATTAACAAAAATAAAAGAATACCACTCCACAGGCCAAGCTAATATTAAATTAATAAAATTTATGATGGATGTTCAGCCATTTACAAATGTTTGATCCATGGTAGCCCTGACACCAAAAACAACATTTTTAACAAGTTATTGTTGGTTTTATGTTATACATGTGTATGAATTTTGTACATTGGATTATCCAAGCCTAAATTCTGGTGTTATGTGTTGTCTTCTCATGAAAATATTATAACTTTTGTTTTGCCACTGTTGAACAATGAGATACTGTTAACTAAATTTAACATTTTTAAACAAATACCTGTATTTCATGAAAACAGTTGTACTAACTTTAATAGCAATGTAATTGAAACAAATTTCTATAATTAAAGGTTTTTAAATCAACCTTAATTAAGCATATAACTTACATAATTCAAAGTAATCTCAAACTATGGGCACAGAGGTTTCTAATTTTATTTTGTCGTTCCACCTACTTGTATTGATGTGGTTTAAATTGACCAATCTCTTTATTTCAAAGATTTATCCAGGGATACAAGTTAAAAGTAACACAACATTTTTTAATTGATTAGTTACAATAATCAGACAGAAATATATATAGTTTGTAACAGTTACTCCACATTTTAACTTTTATATATTTAATCTCAAATTTAGTGCATTAGTTTTTGCTAAAAACAAAACTAATAATTTCTTTTAACACTAGGAAGCAAAAATCATGGCTAGCGTGGACCATCCAAATGTTTTAAAATTGCTAGCTGTTTGTGTAACCTCGCAGGTTATGGTTATTACTCAACTTATGCCACTAGGTTGTCTATTAAACTATGTCCAAACCAACAAGAAGAAAATTGGTTCCAGGCCACTACTCAACTGGTGTACTCAGATAGCTAGGGTAAGTTGAATTATCTGAAAAAGTTCATAACATTTAACAGGAAGAAGAGAATTGGTGGTAATCAACTTCTCATTTTTAACAAACTTCTCAATTGCATTCAGGTAGATACTGTATAAATTGTTTTAAAACTAATTAAAAATGATATTATAATTAATTTATGTTATGGTATTGATGAGATGTCACATTTTTTAATAACTAATAATTGATTTTATGGAAGTCTATCTAAGCTCAAATATTTTACATTGTGCCACATCTAAACTATGATACATGTCTGTGAAAATATAATGCTGTACTTTGACTAAATAATTAAACTACCAATGAGACTCACAGAGGAGACATACAAAGGTGTTCTGTATCTCGATCTAGAAGTTAGGGAAATGACTTTATTTACTTCAGTGGTTAATTAATGATGAAACAAGAGTATTCAAACTTTGTGACAGAAAAAGTGAATGTCTATAATGTATTTCAATTCTTTCTAATGTTTTTCCAAACAGGGCATGGCATATTTAGAAGAAAAAAAAGTGGTTCACAGAGATCTTGCCTTAAGAAATGTCCTGTGTAAGTATATATGACAACTTTCATGTAGATTGAATGATTTAAACTGACAATAACAACAAGTTTTATATTAAACTTGTCTTGAACAACGAGTGATGCAACTGCTATAATAGTAACCATAATCTTGGTTAGGACTAAAAATTAGTACCACAGGCATGAGATAGTTTGATTCAACTGTGTATAAAATTAAAGTTTTCCCACTCCTTCATTTAACAGCTACACATATCAAATATTCCATATTATTATCAAAATTTGAAAACCTAGCCAGTAATTTTTTATTTGTCTTTATTATACCAACAAAGCAAGCAAACAAACAAGAAACAGTACTCTGAGACATAAGTTATTTTGTTTTCTACTCTGTGATATGTTATTTTGTTTTCTTTATTAAATTATAAGGCAATCATTAACCATTGTGTATTCTATTTATCTTACAAACATATATTAATCAACCAGTTATAGGCCAGTTACTTAATGTAACAATATTCAAAGTTATAGACTAGCCACTTAGTAAAAACACTTAGTTATATACAGTTATTTAGTAGGTTAATATGAAAAGTTATAGACCAGTTATGTAGTATAACAATATGAACATTATAGACAGGTTATATTACATACATAGTATAATAATATGAAAGTAATAGATGAATTACTTAGCGTAACAGTGTGTGAAAAGTCATACAACTTACGAAGCTCAACAATGTGAAAATATATAGCTAGGTTACTTAGTGTAACATTATGAAAAGATACAGACCAGTTACATAGTGTAACAATAACAAAGTTAGGGTCTGGCATGATCTGGTGGTAAGGACACTTGATTTGAAAACTGCAGGTTATGAGTTCAAATCCCATCACTGATCATGCTTGTCCTTTCATCTGTGGGAGCATTATAATGTGGTGTCAATCCCACTATTTGTAGGTAAAAGAGTAGGCCAAGAGTTGGCAGTGGGTGGAGTTGACTAGCTGCCTTCCCTATAGTTTAGTCTAGTATATCACCTCTATATTAGAAATGGCTAAACCAGTTAGCCCTTGAGTAACTGTGCAAAATTCCAAAAACAAACAACGTCAAAGTTATTGACAAGTTACTTAGTGTAACAATATGAAAGGTTACAGACCAGTTACTTAGCATAACATTGGGAAAGCTTATTTAGACCAGTTACTTAGTGTAACAGTGTGAAAGTTATATACCAGTTATTTAGTGTAACATTATGAAAAGTTATACAGAAGTTGAGTAAGTTATATGAAAATGATTTTGGAGTCTCATCACATTGTTCCAGTCCATGTCACTGCATTTGGTCATGCTCTAGCTGAGGATTGTGCATCTTGACAATAGCCCTGCAGTGTAATTTCCATTGCAAAAGGCTCCATTGTAGGGCTACCATGTCCAAAACGCACCACTACCATATGAATATTTTCCACATTACATCTAGTATCTCAGAATGACAGTTTTTTTGGCACAAGTTTCTACAGTCTGTCCAATCGCACAGAAATTCCAAGGTGCCGTGTACAGCACCTTGATCAGTATGTATTTCTATGGAATAGCATGAATACCCATTTTATTCTCCAATTACTTGATAAATGTTTGAATTATAGGGCTGGCTTTGAATTTATATATATATATATATAATTTAGTTTAGCTAATGGGACAGCCCAGATGGGCTAAGAGGCCCTTTGTTATCCTTGAATGTTATGCTATGCTTGAGGTATGCAACAGTTGAATGAACAGATAAGTCATAGAAGCAACTTGTGTATGCAAGAATTGTCACTTTTTTTGATGAAAATTCTTCCTTATTATGTATGTTATTTGCTGTTGCTTAGGCCACATGGATGGCTTTTGCCACTGAGCTTTATGTTCCTGGGTTTCCATCTGTTATAAGACACCAGCCACTTAGTAAAATAATATGGAAAGTTATAGATAATTACTTAGTGTAACCATATAAATGTTATTGACAAGTTATATTATACTTAGTATAACAATGTGAAAGTAACAGACACATTACTTATTATAACAATGCCAAAAGTTATAAACAAAAGATTCTAGTACATTTTTTATTTGTCTTTATTTTACCAATAATGCCATTATGTATAAGGAATATCCACATTTTGGAAATTCTAAATTCACAATCTGGACACATCTGTATGATCTAAGTGAATGAATATTTTGTGTGAGAAAGAACTGTTGTATATCCTTAGTGACATTACACTACCTACAAAATGCCAAACAACATCAAAATGTAGTTCTGGTAAACAACATTCCCTACGATTTTATATTGAAAAAAAAAGTGTATAGAGTGGTGACCATTTAAACCATTTTGTTACTTCTTAATATTGCTTATTGCATTTCTTTATCTAGTGTATAATCCTAACTGTACAAAAATCACAGACTTTGGACTTGCGAAGCTGTTGGATATCAATGAAGAAAGTTACAAAGCTGAAGGGGGAAAGGTAAGTTCTACAAATGTATCAAAGTTAACATTATAAGCTCCAATTTGAGATAAGCCTCTCTAGTAACTTTCTGTAAGTGGATAATACTTTGGAAGTATAAAAGATATCTGTTAATTTGTATGAAATATGTATTTCATATGTTTTAATTAATTATATCTATAGTTAGTAACAATAGTATCTAGAAAAAGAAATACAGTAATTTTGATTGCATTGAGAAAAAATATCAATATTTCTGATATCAATATGCAGCAAAGCATCAAACCTAATAGAGCAATGATCACTCGCACCCAGATGTTACCCAATTTCCCCCTCTCAACCATTTTTATATTATAAGTTAACAATAAATCTAAACTGGTATTGTTTCTAGTAGGTTCCATGGCCAATTGGTGAATAAAACCATCTTGAACAGTTTCCAAAAACCTTTCTCCTTCATGGTTTGACTTTAATATTTTCCAATCTGTATATCTGAAATTAAAATCACCCATAATTATGACCTCATTAACAGCTGAAATCTTAATCTCACTGTAAAGTTTCTCTTTAATTTCATCAGTCATCTGGTGGTCTGTAACACATTTCCACTAAAAGCCTTTTCCTTTTATATCCACTAATATAAATCCTGGGCCCGGCATGGCCAGGTGGTTATGGCGCTCGACTCGTAATCTGAGGGTCGCGGGTTCGAATCCCCGTCACACCAAACATGCCAACCTCTGCCTTTGCCTGGTCCCAAGTCCAGGATGAAAAAGGGGAGGGTTGGGCATGGGGCTATCAAATCCACCCCGTAAAAACCAACCTGCTACAAGTAACTGCAACAACACCTTCCGTTGGCTAGGTGTTTTTGTGGCCCTATGCTCCACTGGGAGTTTACAGGAATAAAAAAAAATAAAAAAAATATATAAATCCTGATGTGTTCTTAGATGTGACTGTTTGGGAATGCCTTACATAGAGTATGTAAATCATGACTAATGGTGTTATATTGTAATCTTTTAAATTTATTTTTACACTCCCACAACAAAGACTGATTTTTATACAGTTGTTTGTTTTCATAGATTTTTTACTTACTTTGTTTTTCAGATGCCTCTGAAATGGCTAGCTTTAGAATGTTTACAGCATCGTATCTTCACACATAAAAGTGATGTTTGGGCATTTGGTAAGCATAATTACATTGTTACATGGTTGCTTTGTTTAACAGATATAAGTATCAATGAAATACTGTGTGTGTGTAAAAATTCAAATCAAATCCAAAAGAAATTTCTTAACTGTAATAGCAAAATAATAACTATTAATTTACATTATGGACTTCTCAGAGGTTTTAATTATCAATTCTAGTTTCCAAAAAAAAAAATAGTAATATAAAGACACCACAGCCACTTCATTAAAAGAACATGCCTTTCTACATAAAAATGTTGTGGATATAAACTTGTTTGTTTATACACAGATGTATGAACACTTTGATTTTCAAAGGTAGATACTTAGTTAATTGTAAGTGAGTAAGAATGATTTTTGAACTTATATTTCTTCATTATTATTCTTATGCAGAATATGAATTTTAATAAAATTTTTTGTGTTCTTAGGTGTGACTGTTTGGGAACTTCTTACATATGGTGATAAACCTTATGATCACTTGAAATCTCGTGAAGTACCAGACCTACTGGAAAAGGGGGAGCGTTTACCTCAACCAGCTATCTGTTCTATTGATGTTTATTTGGTCATGATAAAATGTGAGTTTTTTATATTGAATTGCACATATGTTAAAACCATCATGTACATTTTCCAAGACAAATTTATTCTATATTGCACTATTTGACCAAATAATAATTGCAAATCAGATGGAAATGCAGTTTCAAGTAAGAGTATAGAACTACAATACCTGGACTGCTAACCATAATATTTCTATAATAGAATCAATATCACTTTAACAACACGTACTGACAGTTAAGGTCACAGCATCTTTACCCTTAGCCAACTACTCAAGTGATTGGTTAAAAAACACATAAACGTCATAAAAAATCTTTCTATTCCAAATATTGTTTTTGATCAACATATCTGCAAGACATTTCCTTATACATTATTTCTAATGAATATCAAAGATCCAAACCTGGCAGTGCTCTTTCATGCAATATTATTTCTCCAAAATCTCGTTTTAAGGGTGATGCTTTAACAAAATTATTTCCAGTTAGTACCAAAATACATCCAAGATCTGCAGTGAATTCTAATGCTCTCATTGGGTTATTAGTTGATTGAACACCAACTTGATACCTGGTCAGTTTTGTTAACAAGTTCTGTGTTCAGCTCCTAGTTTATTAGCCATTTCTTACAATCAGCCAGCTCATACTTGTTACTTGGAGGCCCTCACTTAAAGTCTCAGGGTACAGGTAACTACTGTATTTTATTTAATTTGGTAATTAAGGTGGAAAGCAATTGAACACTTACGTAAACACTCAGTCTGCTCATGAAGTAGCCTACTAGTCATAATAACTGAGAACTTGAGTTAAAGTCCAAATCTAGTTTTGTTTTATAATAATTAGGCTACCCAGTAGACAGACCAATACCCCTTTTTCTTTTATTATTTAAACTCCCTCAATGTAGTTTGAGGATAATCTGAATATTAAAAAACCTTTATGTATAATCATAGAACCATGAAAAAAGTACAGTCCATGTTGAAAATTAATTAATTTGAATAGATAAAGAGTTCTAATGTCTATCTTTCAAATCAGGTTGGATGAAAGATGCAGAATCCAGACCTTCTTTTAAGGAGTTGGCTAATGAATTTTCTAAGATGGCTCGAGATCCAGGACGTTACCTAGTGATACCAGGGGATAAACTTCTGCGTCTTCCCAGCTACACCCAACAAGATGAGAAACACCTTATCCACTCTTTTAGCATAATGAAAGAAGGTCCTGAAGTGATCATGGATGCTGAAGAGTACCTGCAGCCAAAGAGTGTCTTGTCCAATAGTTCAAATTGTTCTACACCTTTGAAACCAGTCAAAGTAAGAAGCAATTATTATATCTTTTTATTAAAGGTTTTTTTCTTGGTAACATCTACATGCTTAAGGAAAATTTATAAGGATTAAGTGGTATAACATACTTAAGTTTTGCTATAAAAGAAACGGATAACAATTTCCTTCAGGCCAAACAATTCTCCACCATTACAACTAATTATAGTTTTCAGACAGGTAAGTTATTAGAGTTAGTAATATATCTAATGCTTCTCAGTTGTTAGGCCTAATAATATTTTTCAATTAAGCCATGCATTAGTCCTTTTGAGATCTTTTACAACACTTATTTATAAGCATAACACCAAAGGAGCTATTTGGCAGTATATGTTGTCCTGTTGATAACCTTTACTACTAGAAAATGTATCCCTGTGCAATACTTCTTTAAGTGTAATAGCTACATTTTTCTTGATGTTTTGTCATAAATGGTTGCGAAACTTATAAGCAGTTATATGAAATGTGGTAGTAAAAATTCTCTAAAATCAGCATTTTCTTTTAGTGTTTGTATTTTAGGTTGACAACAACTTTAGCAAAACATAATGCCAAAGTTTTCTATATTGAGGATTTTGAAAATGGAATACTAAATGTGATGTACTACAAAAATTTATAGATGTATCAAAGTCTACAGCATATTGAGCAATTTTTTTTTATATAAACAATTTATTTCAGAACATTAATCATTCTGTTTTTTAAATTCAAATCTTTTTATTCACAAATGTTTTCATTTTATGCATGAGAGGAAATTTTGATATCAAACTATTTTTATTCTATTTAGATGAAAGATCAACACATATATTTTGTAACTTGAACAGATTAGCCCCATGTGCAAGGGTATTGGTCAAAGTATGTATGCCATGACCATTGAAAAGAGTACTATTTATGGTATTATGTATTTGATGTCAGAGTTATCAACTATTAATTTTACCCCACGTTGCTTATTTAGTGTCAATTCATGGTAAAAGAGAATACAATGTACAGGGATATTGAAAAATTGTAGATATATATTTCTAAGGTTCAAGAGGTTATTCAAGTGCAACATGCAAATTTTATGACAGACAAAAATATTTTTATTCTTCACTCACCTTGTACTTTGATTTGTCTGAATCTGAGTCAGACTGATATTGTCATTTCATAGACATATCTTGAGTACAAATACTTATGTAACACATATGACTTTTTGTGTACAACAAGCTTATACATTATACTAAAAGTTTGCCACGTTTTGTGTAGATACACATAGTACATTTAGAATTATATTCGATATTCCTTCTCAAATGGACTAACCTTGTGCATATTCAGTTCTGACATTTCATGATATGTAATAATGATAATAATTATTTAGATTTTTATTTAGAAATTTCTAACAACTATTTTATTTGATTTTCACAGAAATGTGTACTTGATTGTGGATTTGAAAGCCAACCTTGCTCATCATACAGTTCGTCTAACTTTAATGTACAGTCACCAGCACCATCAGATTCTGGGTCTCATGATCACCAGAACAAATTATCAGGATGTTACTCAATGAATCCCCTTCAAGAAGTTGGTAGAGGTAAGAGGCCATCAAATGAATTGTTTTTATACAGATCTTAATCAACAGCAAAAAGTTTGAAGTTTTGCTCTGTGTTTGACTACAAAAAACATATCACAGTTCTGATCATTTCAGGAAAAATTTCTTAAATATATTTTAGGCTGATTGATTAGAATTTCTACAAACATATTTTATATAAACAAAATTAATGTTATTTTCAGCTGTAATACCTGTTTCATGAAAGAAACAATGAATGTTTATTTCTAAGGCATTGGACCAATCAAGAGACAGATATGTTTGATATTTAACTATATAGTTACTAACCTGTTTATAAACAATCCAGCTAAACGTTTTCTTTGGATGAGAGACATTTAAACAATATCTTTCTCTGTTCTGTAGAATGTGCTTTTTGTAATATCTATGATTTTGAACAGTGACCTTACACTAGATTTCTATGGAGTACTGTTAAAGCAGTCATTTAACTGTATACCAAGATGCTTTTGAATGACACTATAACTGAAACTGAAGTCTTGCTATGTGTGGCTAAGATAAATGATCAAAGGCAATGTAAAAATCTACCATAAAGTGTAAACAATCTTCCAAATTTTATTTGTTCATGTTCTTATTTCACCTTGATTTTATTGATAATAATCTTATATTCACTAATCTAATAAGTATGTAGAATAAAGAAACATTTAGCTTAGAAGTTAAAATTACATTTATTCTTCAATATACGGAAGTCTGAGCAAGTCCTAGTGATTAGCATATCAGACTAGGAATTGAAGGGTTTCCAATTTGAGAAGTGATGCTACCAAAACACACTTTCAGATATGGTTGCATTGTAAGAGTAATGGTCAATCCCACTATTCAGCTGAGAGTGGCTTCTTCAGGAGGCAGGTGATAACAAAAGACAACTATGCCTGAAACATGGGTATCTCTAGTACGACCAGTGTGTGCATAAGATGTTGTTCGGGTAAACAAACTGCTTATGTCACCTCAAGAAAATATTTAAAATTCAGGTCTTGTGAAGAAAAGCAATCAAAACATTTCACAATATAAAAAAATAATACAAAAAATACTGGCAAAATTTAATTGATAAGCTTGTTTTATATTTCAGGAAGATTTCAAGTTTGTTTATTTTACTGTTACTCTGTATATTATGAACTATATTTATGAATGTTTATGGTTCAAATGAATCCAGACCTAGATTTGTAATAGAAAATTTTAAAAATTATTATGATTTTAGCCTTTCATGTTATGAAATAAACATGTTTCTTGAACTCTTGTAAAAACACAAAGTGAGAGAGAGCCAGCAGAAAAACAATTTGGATATAGAGGTGGTGCTGGTACATTTTGGCACTGAGGAACATCACTGAAAGAGCAAGAGAGAGAGAAGCATAAATCTATTGAACTGTGACTGATGCAAGAAGTAAAGTTTAGAACTGGAAAGGAATACAGCAACCAGTTTGGTTTTTGGAAGAGTGAAAGGCAAGGGTATATGATGGCTCCACTACTATTCAGTATTGCTGACGAGGACATCATGAGGAATGTGGACACTAAGCTCGATATGGAAAAGTTGACAGTTCTGGTGGAAGAAGCAATATAGAATTTTTCTTATTTGGATGATACTTTGGTCTTGGCAAGGAAAAAAGAGAGTTTAGAGGAAATGGCTAAGTGATGAGAATGAAGCAAAAGAGTGTAAAATTTGGGCTGAAGGTCAACATAAAAAATATGTAAGTTATGAAGATGAATGACCAGATGTATTTAATTATAGGTGCACTTGAAGGCATTGTGAGTTATGAAGATGAATGACCAGATGTATTTAATTATAGGTGCAATTGAAGGCGTTGTGAGTTATGAAGATGAATGACCAGATGTATTTAATTATAGGTGCACTTGAAGGCGTTGTGTGTTTCAAGTACCTTGATGTGCTAGAAAAAGAACTGTTAGGGAAAAGAATCTGGCAAAGATCTATAAAATGAAAGACATTAGCAGGAAGTTGAATGTTAATGTGGTATATAGCTTGTTATGGATGTTGAGACTATGAAGGAGAGCGATCAGAAAAGGGTGACAGAATTTGAGGCACTGGAAATAGGTACTTCAAGTAAAATGGAGAAATATGAGAACCAATGAATGGGTGAGGGAGATGGTTGGAATCCTTGAAGTGAAAGGTTTGTTAGCATTAGTTGAAGAAAAGAAAATTGACAAAATCTCTCACTGAAAGAGAAGATGCACAAGCTTGCATAATACTGACCACAACTGAAGGGACACTGAGTGGCAGGAATAGACAAGGAAAGAGAAAAAAGCTTGGATGAGTGACATCAAGAAATGGACTGGCAGGAATTTGGAAGACATGGAACAAAGAAGTGAAGCAAGAGAAGAAATCATCTGAAGCGACCAGTACAATTTCTTAAAACCTTGGGATAAATCAACCACTCAGTCAACCAAACTGAAGGACACTTAAGTACTAGTTAAGTTAAACTGTGGTTTCATCACATTTCCAGATTTCTTGTTGAAATATGTACAGAAGAAACATTTAGATTTAAAGTAATTAATATTTTTTCAAGATACACACCGTGTTGAAGATGATGAAAAACCCTTCAGGAGCACTACATTACCTAGTGATTTTAAAAAAAAGAAAGCAAGTTACTTGAAGCTTGCAGTTGATGAAGAAGATTACCTCGTTCCTTGTCCTCTTCCAACCAACCAAACAGCCAACTATATGGACTTGATTGAAGATAGTAAGTCAACAGGTATGTTTATAATTAAGACAAAATGTAATTTTTCTTACTTTAATTAACCAGTGAACTTGATGTTATCAGATAATTTATTTTGTCTTTTTCACCAAGACCTCCATAAAACATACCCATCAAATGAACAAGTTTCTTTTGGATTATTTTCTGTATATTCTAAAATATTTAACTAAAATTGTTACTTCTGTATGTATTGTATGAGGACTAATTTAGTATTATTTGTTATTTCAGATGTAAGCATCTGTTGGCAAATAATCATCCACACGAATCACTTATTATCACTAACATACATAAATCGCATAACCACTTACGGCTTATCTTATGAGCAATCTTCTCTTCAAAATGCTAAGCCAGTAGTATAAGTTAAATTACAATATCATAATTCATCAGCAAGTCACATGATGACGACTGAGGTTGTTCGTATTTCCTTACAAGTTGTTTATTGTAGATTTGTTTTTTACAGAGAGATATATAAGGCATTGTAAACATGTGACGTCCGTGTATGCTGAGCTTAAACATATAGATACTTAAGTAGGGAGGAAAAACACTGTACAAGTTATACCATTTACTATACAGGTTGATTATGTTAATTTATATTATAGAAGTATAAAACACTATTTTTCTGCTCAGCATGTATATGCCTTTTTTCCATTGTACATGAATGTGTCTTGTGTTACAGAAAAATATATAAATAATGTTTAAATAAACAGCATCTGCAAATCAGCAAAGTCTTTATTGTGTTGAGCTAGCTAGTTTAGAATGATATTGATGTCCTAGATGGAATCATCACAATGCGTAAAATCATTTCTAACTCGTGCTATCACTTTAACTTATTTATTTTTAATGTAGAAATTAATTTCAAATACTTAAACTTAGCACTTTAATGCTAATGTTTATGCTTATTTGATGCTAAAACTTTTTTCTAATAAATACTAAATAGTTTTATTTTTATCATGCTGCCTATAGTTATGGGTGGTAGGAACTAATGTCACAAAAGGTACCAACAGGGTACATATGAAGCCCATCATCTTTTCAAATATATTATTTTAAACAATATTTGCACCAGATTTCCTGGGCAGGGTTCCATAAGATTTTTGATTACATTATTCTAATTTCCCCGAAAGGGGGCCAAAGGCCACCTAGAGGGGTCACCTGTTTTAACCACTCACATCACTATACAGTAGTATGTTAATTGTCTGTCAATCAGTCAGTAGACACTAAAATAATGTCACATAAGGAAAACTTAACATTACAGTTTGTACTGTTGTGATGTCAGTAAAATATGTACATGCCAAGAATTGTGAATAAAATTATGCACTCTGTAGACTACAATATAGCATGACATACAAACTTGAAAAACAAGAAATAAAAATATTTGTTGCTCTTAATTTTGGCTATATTTACTCATGAAACAGAACACTTTCGGGAACCCGCAGAAGTACATCTCTTTACACAGAGTGTTAGAACAGGTAAAAGCATAAAATTACTCAGTATGATATAGAACCGTAGCCAGTTATTTTTGCACCCTGAGCAGGTCTCCAGTCTGTATAGTTCTGCATAAATTATTGAATAACAGGCTTAGCCTCCCTTCTGGCTGTGCCCTGGGCAACTGCCCCTCCAACCCTACCCTAGCTACAGCTCTGTTATGATGTAATATAGACAGTAACCTATTGCAACATATTGAATCATCTTTTTTATTAGATCAAAATGATTCATCTTTTACATTTAAAAAAGACTGACACTTTTATTACGTTTGTTTGTTTGATATTAAACACAAAGCTACATAATGTGAGGACCTTCTATTGTTTCAGATAAACAAATGAAAAAACATTCAAGAATTATGAGATCATTAGATCAAATCTAGAAAGTTCATGAAAGTTGAAGCCTATATAGAATCTGGAAATTTCATGTAGTACATAAAACAAGGGTATAATATAAATACAAGAATCAGTGAATTAATCGGTCAGTTAGTGAAGTTATGAGAACTGAAAGTGCCATTGGATGTTCTGTAATCATACAAAGAATACACAGTAAAGCTAAGAAATAACATTAATGTTGTCCATGACTTGGTCTAATAAAGACGTAAATCAGCTAGAAGGTGAAAAGGCACTATGGTTTAATTGATGATAAGACTGAAATTCATCACTGGAACACAGTATTGCTGTACAATTGATGCAGCAAGAGAGGATTATCTCCAAAGTTCACTAGATATTGGGAAGTATCCTAGGCTATAGTTTTAAAGAATTGATGATGAGGTTTACAGAATGTAGGAGGACATTTAGCCAAAGGTTATCCATCTTGGTCATCTTTGAAAGTACATTGGCCACAGAATAGCCAACTGGTTAACTTTTCAAAAGATAAATAAACCTACTGAAGAGTATTTCTGTTCAGACCACTTCCAGATTGTCATCAGTAGATTTTCTCAGCCATCTATCTGAAGATAACTCTCCAAGTAACAACACAAGAATTGTGACTGGACAGTTTAGAGACAGTAAATGAGTAAAAAAATATTTTTTGTTAATCAAAGATTTAATTATACTATGTTTTACACATTTGACTATTGATTTAAATATCTGTATTTATGAATGTTAATTGTGAAGATTTATTTTATTATTAATATTAGGTGTGGAGTTTTTTATTTATGTTAGTTCCATAAGCTATGGAAAAGAAAACCACCAAAATTTTTGGTGACCAGAAAGTTTGGGAGGGGGCAGCATTACAGGCTATGTTTTTTAATTTAGACATTTGTATTGTTGTTTGACACAGCATGATTGATGTAGCTCAATGAATAGAACCTTCTTGAAAATTTGGAAAACAGTTATTGTTAACTATGGAAGTTTAAAATAAATGTGTTTTCTCTGGGTAACAAGATTATTCAAGGGGCTTCACAATCCTGGAAGGGGGCAGTATTGTAGGCTACATTTAACATAGTATGAAGAATGATGACTAGAACCTTCTTGAAAGTTTAGGAAATGGTTTGAGCCATATAAAAAGCAGGTTAATCTAGAGTAGATGATTATGGATTTGTGTTCATTATGGAGTTTTTAAGGCACTAAACAGAAGTTTGAATAGACCGTGTTAAAACAATTTTGGAGCCCTAATATGTCTTTATAATCCATGTCGCTATGTCCAATTATGCTATATTTGACAGTTGTGCATCTTGTCATCCCATCCCTGTACCATAAGCCATGGAAAAGAAAATCGCCAAAAATATTTAATAACTGTTTAGTTTAGGGACACTAAATGAGTAAAAAAAATATCTTGTTGTGTTAACCAAATTCTGGTTGTACTTTATTTCACACATATAATTAATAATTTAATTATCTAAATGCCTTTATTTAGGAGTGTTAATTGTAAAGAGTTACTTGTTTCTTATCTAAGTTTGTATTGTTGTTTGATATAACATGATGAGCATGGCTTCATAACCACAGTAGATGATTATTGATTTCTGAGTCTGTTGCAGTGGATGATTGATTATTGAGGTGGCAAGTATGTCAGTCAGTTTGTTTATTACTATAAGCCAGTTAGTTCAGTTACTGAGTTTGTGTTTTCACAGAGAAATTGAGGTATGAGAAGCACCTTATGTGTAAGAAAATTAGCAAGTAAGTAAAATTATTGTGTTTGTGTTTACTTCGACATAGGCTTATCAGTGCATGGTATTTAATCTAATCAAAGATGTAGTGACCATGGGTGCCCACAGAAATATTTTTTGAGGGGGGGCAAACATGTATGTAGGGGATGAGCTTTGACAGTGTAAGTCAATAGACTAAAATAATTTGTGTTATATGTGCTTAAATGCAAACACATATTTACAGTTTTAATAAAAATTACTAAAAATATTTAGTTTAACTATGATGTTAAGTTTACATTATTACATGTAAAATTTTTTTGTGAAATGTAAGGGGGGCAAATGCTCTCCTCTTGCTCCTTCCTGTGGGCACCCATGGTAATGACTCAAAATATTTTTTTTTTGCAATCATTAAGCTGTTTGGACTTTGCATTGTGTTATCCTGGATAATTCAAAATAACCTGATCAGTAATATAAACCATTATAACAATGGGATCATTGGCCAACAAAATTTCAATTTAAGTGTTTGTTAACCAGAAAGTTTGCAAACTTGCCAAGTGTAAATTTTTTTTGGGTACTCTTTTGTTCACGTGATTGTATTCTTCAGTATCTTGTAGTAATGGGTTTGTCCTTCTAAGTCTTAACAAATGTCTGACATTTCAGGAGTTTTTTAAGGTATTAGCATATTACTCTACAGCAGTTTGAGTGCATTATATTAGAATGATTTTGGAGTCTTGTAAGCCATTACATGTTACATTGTCTGAACATACTGTCTGATGACCATGCATTGTGAAAATAGTCCTGTAATATTTTTTCCAATGCAAATGGCTCTGTTATAAAATTGTCACATTCAAAGGACATTACTCCTCCATGTATGCTTTCTATAATCCATTTTGTGTACAAGAATAATAGTTTCCCAGTATACACTTCAACATTTCATTTACACAGAAATTCATAGGTGCTGCATCCAGTGAGTTGATTGGTATGTATTCATTATGGAATACACATTTCATTTTACAGCTGCTTGAGGTATGCAATGATTGAATGGGAGGTATGACTGGAAGCCTTATCTTTGCAAAACCATATCCTATTGGCCTCATTTCCACATGAAGATCCTTCTTGTATACTGTTGCCTGGGGCAGGTGAATGGCTTTGTTGGTGATATTTGGATTCTCACTTGTTACAAGATGCTGCAATTTCCTTACCAAGGCTGTGGAACATCTTGTTGCAGTTCTCTTTCTGGATGGTCCTGGTTCCCAAGTTGATCCATATTACTTTGTTTTCTAATGCCATTAATTACAAGGAAAATTCTATATCCCCAGTCTGGACACATCTTTATGAACTGAGTGTATGTATGAATATTTTGTGTTGAAAAGGGTTGCTACATGTCCTTCCCAAAGGCAATCACTTTTCTGTGGCATCAAACTACCTACAAAATACCAAATGATGTCAAAATGTAGTTCTGAGACATGCCATTCCACCATGACTTTATATCAGCTGTAGTGACTTACTGATTTGCATATTCAAAATAATTTCAATATAGTATACTGAAAACTCTGTAGGCCACATACTGTCCAAGAAATTTGGTGACAGAATAATTCTCAGTTGTACTACCTGTTTTGGATATTATCATGCTTGAAACATCTCTCATTTTTGACTATGTGGGTAAAACCTACTATTTTTTTATATTTTCTTCTCTTAAAGCAAATTATGTTTTACTACTTGTACAGATTATAAAGAGTTTAATAATACAGTCCAAAAACAAAATAGGAAGAATTTCTCCAGCAATTTTCAAACCTGCACAAATGTGCTGATGTAATTATAGGAGCAAAAATAAAATAGCTGGCAACAAAAGCAGTGGCATTAACTATGAGTGTTTTTTTATTATTATTCAAACTATGAAGTTTCAAAGTGGCAGAGGTTTCTTGTTATTGCATATAAGCCAGTCCTTTATTAATTTTTAGTTACTAACATAATCTGTAAAAACAATTTAGACAATTGCTGGTGTTTGTGACTTACATTATCTGTTGGGTACAAATAATCAGTAGAACTTTTATATATATTTTTTCCAGATCCAAACTTCTCTCCAGTTAAAAGATCTGGTCAGAACAAGCAAAATCATGGCCTTGATAATTTTGAGTACTTACTAATGGATGTTAGTCATAATAGTCCGGAGCTAGAACTGGAAAAACAATCCGAAGATGATGAAAATGAAGATGTACTTTTCATCAGTACAGATAATCAAAAAAAGCAGGAACTTTTGCCTTTAAAACCCAAAGCTAATGAGACAACTGTGTGAGCTTTAGTAGTGGTGTTTCTTATATATATATATCTTATATATATGCATCTCTCCATAGCTCAGTTTATAAAATTCAGTTTATTTATAAATGTAATATACTTCCTGGATACTATAAATATCATGTATGAAATGCTATTGAAAAAAATATTTGTATTTTAACATTTTTTGTTCTTTGGAAGAAACCTAACATAACACACACACACACAACACACATTACCAGTGTGTGTGTATACTTGGTGTTTCTTTCCTTTTTTTAAATATCTGCTTTACTATCTTACTCTTAAATGATAACATTTTGTACCTGTTGCTTTACTTTTTAAGCTGTTAAAAATAATTATAATTTTCATTATCATGACCCAAGTATGCTTATTATTCTTTGTGTCTTGTCATGTTTTAGAACTTTTAGAATTAGATCTAAGTCTGAAAAAAAAAGGAATTAGATAGTAGTTATATCACTACATCAAGAGAATTTCTGTAACAATATTTGTGCACCTGATATTTCCAAAATACTAGCTAATAATAGGTTCATAGGTCTAGCAAGGCTGTGTGTTTAACAGGGACAGTGAGAGAGTTCAAAGTGTATAATACTTCAAATAAGAAGCGTTTAATTGTTTCTATCTTTATTAATTTAGATGAAAGGAAAACATATTGGTTTTATCAGATCTGTCATCTTATCTAACCTGGAATATTATAGATAATTAGTTAAGTGGGATTTGTATACAACCAGGCCTCCTAGCAGCATCTACTGTTAACAGCCTTTAAACCAAAGAATTAAGTTACAGGCTGAAATTGACTGAAATATAGGCTAATTTTAGTGAAATCTCGTGCAGAGGTTCTATATTATAATCAATTAAGTCTTACAGAACCAAAACAGTTATTTCACACTTTTTACCTAATATTTCTTACCTTGTAACTGATGATATTCATTTTGGAACTCACCTTGTGAACTCCCATATATAATATCTATGAAGTACTCAATCAGGTGACTTCATTGGAAGCAGACTTACAAGTGAATGTAGAGTTGTATGTAATTTTCTCTAGTGTATTCTAAGGTTTTGCTTGCACACTGCACGTGTCACTGGTTGCAATAAGTCTTTGCTTCACAGCACATTTAAGATGGCTACAACTAAGAATTGAATCTTACACTTTAAATGAAGAGCAAAAAATCTATTTCTGTAAATATACGTTTTACATTTTGAAGCATGGAAAACAGGCTATTATGCATTATTACAGGCCCTATAAATAAAGGTCCGATATCAATGGTTAAGCCTCTGAAAAATATGTTTTAAAGGTTCTGTGAGAGGCCTATAATTAGCATATTTTCATCTACTGCATATAATCTATTGATACAGATGTTATGATTTTTCATGGATTAGAATTAATAATGTTTAAAAAAGATATACATACTTTTGCATTAGTCATACAGACATGCAGAGTAGTGCAAGGTTTTAATTTGAATTAATTGTAGGACTTACAGAAAAACTGTCATTAAGATGGAAAGTGAACGCGTTCCTTAAGGTAGGCAGTAACTTATAAACTCTCCTGATGTAAGAAGATATACAAGTTTAATATCTGTCATAGACTTATGATTTCCATGATATAAGTCAATTATAGAAAGTTGTAAGGTGAAGATTAACCGTTCAAAATAGAATCCCTGAAATTTGTCGTTTGTTAAAAGGTTTTTGTTGTTTTAAAAAAATCATAAATATCCAAATATTCCACCTTACTCACTATCCAAAACAACTAAAAAATAATAGGAATAGGAGTTTCTAGCTATGTCAATAGAAAATTGCTGCAATAAAATGATGTTCGTCATTCCCCCTCATTTCATCATGATGAAAATCAGCCATCAGATAAACAGTCATGGTCTGAAGTGAAATTATTTGTCATTCAGTTTATACTAATTATATGGTAGACAAGAATGGCAGCAGAAAAAATATTGGGGGGGGGGGTCAAGTTTGAAAAAATTATGAAATCGAAATAGTTTTCTTCTATGGAAGACTAGAAGTCGCCATTTTTCTGGCACGGGCTGAATAAATATAAAATTATGATTCGATTAAAATATCTTCTAAATTACTGTATCAATGAGAAATAAAAAGAATTTAGATACCAATCATACTATTGTTAATATCCCTGTAATTACAAATACCTTATGAGTTTCCAATAACATAGAATAATAATTTTACATAGCTAGTAATTTTTTTTCTTTTTGAAAATCCAGGCGCCCATGATGGTAGAGGTGGCTTTAGTTTTAAATGTTTGGTAGAGATGGCTGTACACTTTTAAATATATGGTAGAGATGGCTGTACACTTTTAAATGTATGGTACAGATGGCTTTTACAGATTTAAATATATGGTAGAGATAGCTTTTACAGATTTAAATGTATGGTAGAGATGGCTTTTACAGATTTAAATGTATGGTAGAGATGGCTGGCTTTTACAGATTTAAATGTATGGTAGAGATGGCTTTTACACTTCATGTCATTTCAGTTTAAAATGGAGGATGTTCATCACGAACAGCAATGGCAGTTTGACACTAATATTGCATGCTTAAAGTAATATTGATAAGGTCCTGACTGGCAAACAAATTATTTAATGATATGTGTTGCAAAGAAATAAAAGAAGGTTAGAAAAATATTTTCTCATCTCGGATATTCCGGGGTTAGAGCTAATTTGCTAGCCCCACCTACAGGTTAATTCTGTAGTCACTTCCATGTACAGTACAGTTTTTGCAATAACTGGGTATCATTTACAAGAAAAAATATTAGATGTAGAAACTTACACAACTTGTATTTTAACATGACAATGCCCCTACGAAACACTGTGATATGTTAATATAGTATCAGGTTCAGTATACATTCGGCCATTCATTGCATGAAATATTTTACTTATGACACAAAGATGTTAACATAAACTATTGTGAAATACTGTCTTGTCGGTATTTATTTTATGTTAGAGTAAGACTTGGGCACTACTATTCATCGCCATTTTCTACATCGTTTAACAATCATGTACAGTTTTGTAGTTGTGGCAATAAATTATTTGTTTTGATATTCCAACGATTTCAATTCCTGAAGTTATGTTTACGTACGAATAAACACCAGAAAGTGCATAAAAGTTAAAATAGGTAAATAAACAATATGTCAAAAACATGTTTTGTTCAAATGTTGTTTCGGAAAGTAAGTGTCTAAAATTTTAAGACACGATCTTTCTGATCTCGTGATGAACCCCAGTCAACAATAGAACTTTCCAGGCAAACAACATTTATTTTAAGTTTTCAATGTTAAAGCTAATGACGTCTTGTTCAATAAAAAAAGTAAACAATTGGAACTAAACAAAAGTATGTGTTTTAAGTTTACGTTTCTATCCTTGCGAGGTTCCGACCAAATTAAAATAGCTGAAGCAAGACATATAGTCGTTGTATTCTACAACTTGGCAACCAATTGAAGTATAACGAGCTTCGTCACGAACACAATGGAAGAGAGCCTGGCATGACATGGTGATTAGGGCACTCGACTCGCAAACTGCGGGTCGCAATGTCGATTCTCCGTCTCTGGACTTTTGGAAGACCGTATTGTTTTCAGGAAAACTCTTGGTGAGGCATTCTCCAGACCCAATCCTTCCACTGTCCGAAAATTGAGCGAATCTTGATTCGGGGCTCAACAGTTTGCAGCCAACCGTTAAGCATGGTGGTTTCAGCGTGATGGTTTAGGGAGCCGTTTGGGTTGCTGGGAGATCGAGCTTAGTGGAGTGCGTTGGCAATATAAGTTTTGCGAAATACGTTGAAATATTGGAGGAAGGACTCTTGCCACTTTATTCCTCGGGTTTCGTGGACAAGAACACAACTTTGTTCCAGGAAGATGGAGCACCGTGTCACACTGCTAGAAACAACCAAAAGTGGCAGGAAGAAAATGGTATCCAGAAGTTGCCCTGGCCGAGCCAAGCTCCTGACACGAACCCCATCGAAAACCTCTGGCCCATACTCAACCGGCAAGTCAAGAAAAACAAAAAAAACCAACTTCGAAGAGCGATCTACTCCAAGTTTTGAAGCAAGAGTG